TCGTGTCAATGTACTTCGGACCACCCAATTCACTGAACGTAGCCCACTCAAAACGAGAAGATCTCCCCGCTTGTCCTCTTTAATGTCCCCAAACTCTGGAGTGTTACCCTATTGACAGTAGCTTCTAACTCTCCCGTAAGTTGAAGTCTACAAAGAACAGCACTGAAAGTCCATGCAGCTTACGTAGCCCACAAAAAGCGAACGAGCAGATCTATGGAGGGGGAGAGATGAAGCCACGGCGCGCGGCAGGGCCCTGTGCAGTGTGTGTTTGAGGTCAACAGTTCTCGTCAGGGATCAACCTGAGACCTTTGTCCCCCAGCAGCTGAACTGCTGTCACGAGCGGGTGTGTCATGCACAGCAGTCTTGCCTCGGGGGTCGTGAACGTGACCGTGACTGAGCCGTGCTCCAGACTCACCCACTAGGGAGTCCCTGGGACCAAAGCCCTGCATCCCTGTTGGGGTGCCCGGAGGCCGCTGGCGTGACGGCCACGGGGGGGCCACAGCTCCCTTGAGGCCGGGCCCCAAGCCTGTCACCAGCACCGGCCACTCTTCCCCTCCTTGTCCCACTCCCCCTGGGTCCCCGCGAGGACGTGGGCAGGGCCATGGAGGTTGGTCCGCTGAGCCTGCCAGAGCCTGGCACAGAGGGCTGCCCGGCTCTGATGGTGCCGGGAGCCTCTGACCTGCCTCCGTCAGTGTCATCCCCGGCCAATCGGACACGCGTCCAGACGCTGTTTCCCGTGCAGCCAGTTCTGCTCGGCGCTGTGGTCCATCGGACTCGGCCCAGAGCGGGATGTTGGGTCCGCTGACTTCTGCTGGGAGTCTCCCAACCCCATCCCCGCGCCCCCCCCCGCCACACACACACACAGCGCCTGTCAGAACCCGCTGTGCATGATGGGTGCTCTGGGTCAGCGGACCACTGACCGGTCTGTCTGAGGTGGAAGTCCAGGGACTGCAGGATCCCCTCCCTCCTCCGTGGTCCGGCCCGAGGAGGGCGGGCGGCGTCTCCGAGGAGCTGCTCACTTCCTCACAGCGATCGTTGTTAACAGGCTCCCGCGGCGTCTCTCAGTGTCTGATCAAGTCCCTCAACAGAAGTCCAGCCACAGGAGCGTGTGCAGCCAACGGCCCGGCATCGGCCTGGGTTCCATCCATCGGCCTGCGTTTCACTCAGTGGTGCCTGACGGCTCTAACCGTGTGAACAAATGTGCTTTCCTTTTCCTTCCCGTGTCACTTCCTCGCAGTGTGACCAGGGGGGACTCGCGCCGCCCGCGTGCTTCGTTGGGTCCCAGCAGTGTCGGGTGACGCGGAGGACGCGCCAGGCAGAGGCGGTGACAGGCTCTGAGCTCAGACTCAGCTCTCCGCTGCCGCTGGTCCTGTCCGGGGCGCGGAGGCTGCTGAGCTGGTGGGGGGCCCCGAGGCGCCTGCCCCTGAGCCCCAGGAGGCTGTGTCTCCCTGCGGAGGCGCTGACTTGACCCCTGAATCTAAGGGCCCGGCACGTGCAGGGTCACTCCAGCTGGTGTCCGTGGGCCCCTGGACGGAGCGGACAGGGCTGCTCGGGGCGCTCACCTCGGAATGAGTGGGACCCCCTTTCCGCCCGCCTCTCGCTAGACCGAGGGCCTCGGGAGCAGGTCGGGGTGTGAATTTTCTTCTCCCATCAGAGGCCTCAAACTTCGGCCGTACCTGTACTCACGTCCACGTGTTTTTATAGTTGGTGTTTCTTACTTAACTGTGTTGTGAGCGTTCCCTGTCGTCCTTATTCATAGTGACGGCCCCGGCAGAGTGGCTCAGTGGGCGGCGTGTCCTCATTCGGTGGCGTGAGGACTTGTCTAGCCTCGTTGATTGAAATCGCTCTATTTTCCCCTCCGTACCCCCCCCCCCCCCACACACACACACACACAATACGTAGTCCAGGGAAAGGGCTGGAACCGGCGCTGTTAAGCCCCTCATCTCAAAGCCCCGCCATCACACACACACACGCATGGACACTCGTGTGTGTCCACACGGACACGCGCACGCACACACCAAATTGAGTGATCCCTCGGCACAGACGCCTCAGTGTGAACGCAGACTGTTCCCAAGCTCGGCCGAGGGGCCTGTGGCTCAGGTTCGCACACGGCCCCTCCCGCCCGGGACCCGCCTTCTCACACTCACCTTCGCACGTGGGTAGTTGCCACGTGAACAGTTTCCCTTTTGAGGAGGTGATCTTGTCACGTCCGGGGTTGGCGTCCCAGGGCCGCCGCCTCGGGGAGCGTTGCGTGGCCGCGGTCTCAGCGCCCGGGGGCGGGTCCTCTGGGGAAATGCCTCCGGTTGGTCCCATCGCCGCCGCCGCTGAGGTCTGCCTCCCTAACTCTGCCAATTACAGCTGCTCTCTGGCTGGGTCGTTGGCTGGGTCAGGCCTAAAGGTTTCCCAAACCAGCAGTATTGTCTTTACATTTGAAACTTACTGGACTTAATGGCCAGAAGCCAGTGTAATTATGAACAGTTTCTAAGCAAGAGGGGATTTTTACTGCCCCACAGAGAGCCGAGGGAGTTGGCTGGCCTGACAGGAAGAAGGGAGGTGGGTGATTTTCTTCTAGAAGATAACCCTGTCTCACATGGCGCGGGAAGGAAAAACATCCACTGCTCAGTGGCTCCCGCCAGGGCCTCGGGAGAGCAGGTGCCACGGGTGCAGGTGGAGGAGGGAGGTGTCCTGCCGGCCATGCTGGGGAGCATGCAGGCCCCAGGAGGAGAGAAAGGTCACGCGAAGGAGGAAAAGTCCTTCCCACGGGTGTCCTCACTGAAGGCAGCTCGCCTCTGCCTCCGAGCATTCGGGGTGCTCACGTCACCCTGCCCTGCTCGCGCTCTTCCAAGTCCGGGAGACTGCAGGCCCAGCCACTCCCTGGGGACCTGGGCTCCGGGCAGAACGGCAGCCTCCTCCTCACCTGCAGGAGGCGCCATCTCGCCTTCCCCAGCCAGACAGGGCCCGGCTCTCCCTCTGCGCGTCATTGTCTCCCTGTCCAGCGCAGCCCTCTTCACCCCGAAGAGTTGCCATGTTCCGATGCCACGACATCCCAGGGCCCCGTGCTGCCAGGTCTCACTGCGACTTACAGCCGAGCTGGGCCTCACACAGAACAGGCAGAAGGCGCCACCGTGGGCCACCTGGTCACCAGGACGATGCTCCTTAGCCCGGTACCGTTCAGTCCCCTCCAGAAGACCTTGTTCACGGGATCGGGGCCAGATCTGGGGGAGCCCGGCTTTGTGACGGGGCCTGTCTTGGCAAGACCCCACCTCTTCCCTTGAGATGCCCAGAGTGAGTTCCCCTGGGAGCCCCGTCACTCCCTGGAGATCAGGCCCGAGACAGGAGTCCCTGGGGACACCTCTCGATGTCTTTTACATCAGCCCCCGCGGCTCGGACAGGCCATGGTCGGACAGGCCTCGCTTGGTTTTGTGGAGGAACATTACGTCTCTGAAGGGCCCCAGGGAAGGCACAGACCCCGCGAGGCAGCCGAGGGCTGTGCGGGAGGCTCGCTCAGCGTCCCAGGAAGACGCGCTGAGCACCTGGGCTGTGCTCTTCCAGTCTCGCTCTAATCTGATGGGAAAGGTGGGGCCCTGGCAGCAGCTGGGGAAGTTTCTGGAGGGGCCAGAAGGAGCAGCAGCAGGTGGAGGAGGGGAGGGGCTGCCAGATCCCATCCCGGCGTCCGTGGCAGGGGGTAGCATGTCTCGATTCGCAGTGGGTGGAAATGGCTTTGAAGTAACAGAGGAACCTCAGCTGGAGAGAAGGCAAAGTATATGTTAAGAGAACAAAATAAAGGGGCTGGGTGGGGAGGTTTGTTTTGGGGATTTAAACTCTCTGAAGTAGAGTTGTCATAGTTACCTGCTTGTTTTTACTTGTATTCCTGAGATCTGAAGCCCATGGAATTAAAGTAATTCTCCCCCGTGAAGTCTGTGTCAGTGCCAACAGGCCCCTGGGCTGCCCTCCCGTGGGCCCCGTGGGCCCCCGATTTCTTTCCGCTTCTCTCGGTGCTGCCTGGGCCTGTCCGGGGTAGCTGGTGATTAGAAAACCGGGGTTAACGTAGCTTCCGTAGCCACGCGCACTCAGGACCACTGCGATCTAGACCTCCATCACGACACGCCCACGAACGAGGCCCCACGGCCTGCCCACACCTGACTCGAGTGCAGCCACCGCTCGCATCCCCCAGACCATTTCTCCACGGAGCAGCTCGCCCGGAGCACGGATGGAGCTGATGCTGTGGCTCCCACCGTCAGCGGATCCATCACGGGCCACGGTGATGGACGGTGCAGCGCATCTGACGTACACGTTTTCCAGGCCTTCGATGAGGTGGGTGGGCACCAGGCCTGGCTCTGTCCCTCAGTGGCCGCTCTGTCCCGGACAAGCCACTGTCCCCGCTGTCCTTGCAGCCTCAGCTACACACGGAAGAGGCTGCAGCATCAGGGTCCTGCCGCCATCGGGACATGGGACACGCCTGTGGCTAGTGTGCACCTGGGAAGCCGAAGTCCCCACAGGCGGGTGCAAAGCCACCACCTGCAGGTCGTGAGCCGGTGGGAAACGAGGGATAAGAGTTCCGGTTACACGTGTGATGCCTGAATGCCGACTGACAGGTCACCATGTGGAAGGCCGAATGAAGCGACATATTTACCCCAAACACACGAGCAGCTTCTCTGTGTGTCGTCCGTCAGGTACACAGGAGGGGAGGCCCAGCCTCCCAGCTGGCTCCAGCTTCAACGCTCCAGTCATTTCCCCGAGAAGACCAGGCTGTGGACGGTCCTGGCAGCAGGTGAGCCTCACGCCTTTGGCAGGACCCACGTCTCCCTCCGGATGGGTTTCACCGGGCGGCTCCCGGGCAGGCGTCTCGGCAGCGGCACCGGGTAGCGCTGGGGCTCCACATCCGGCCGACGGGTTTCGGCATAAAGCAGAGAAACGCGAGGCCGGCAGGGCTGTTTGCAGGAAACGGCCACCTGCCTCCTGAAGGTTTTAAAATAATGAAACCACCCCCCTGTGGACTCTTCAGCGTCCCAGGAACCTCTGCTCCAGTCGCACCTTCCTGCAAAATAACATCGAGTTTGCTTGCCGTGGATTGTGGGGACGACGGGGCCGCTGGCAATGAAAGTAGTAACCACAGGAAGCGTACTGTGTTGGCACCTCCGCCAGCCCCTGCGTCCTTTACTTCTGAAAGTCGCCTCAGCCGAGAGAGGTTGTCCAGGAGTCGCTTAGCCATGAACACAGGCCCGTGGGGAGCATGCCTCCTGCCGACGGCAAGGAGATTCCTCTGTGGGTCTCAGTGTGCGGCCAACACTCTCTGCTCACGTAGCTCGAAGAAGTAGGTGAGCCGCCATTTGGCTTTCGGGCAAGTTTAAATGGAAGGTTGAAGGCCACACTGTGTGGTGGATACAGCGGGGGCTTCTGAAGGAAGGTTGGTGTCCATCTCAATGTATACGCTTCAGTGGCCAAACTCGGGGAGAAAGGAGAAATTCACGCCTAAGGATCATTCCGTTCAAAGCCACTTGGAATCTGAATATTGCAAACTTAACTAATTGCAGAAAGCTGGTGCCGGAGGACAAAACAATTTAGCAAGGCGAATGGAAATCCTGTCTTCTCAGAATGACCCAGATTTATCTTTATTCACATCTCATTCTACAGATCCAATCAGACGTATAAACCAGGTAGCGCACGTGCGTTCCTCGCTGTCTTTCCATTTCCCTGTCCAAGGACATCTCGGTTCCTTGCGTTCTCTAGTGACTAGGGGGTACGCTGCAGTGGACTTCCGCACGCAGCTTTTTACGTGGACATCAGTTCTCAATTCACGTGGGCGGGTACCCAAGAGTATAGTTGCTGGGTTGCAGGATGAGGTTGTGCTTAATTTCATGAGGAATTGCCAAACCGTCCTCCAAAGCGCTGTGCTGTTCTGCACTGCCACCAGCAGGAAGGGGGACTCGCTGTGGTCCTGCTGGCGTCTGTTATCGTCTGTTACTGTCAGTTTATAAAATGTTACCCTTTCGAATAGGTATGTGGCTGAATTGCACTGCAGTTTTAACGTGTTTCCCTGATGGCCAGTGATATTGAGTATTCAAGGGCTCATTTACCACCTACATATCTTCTTTAGTGAAGTGTCTATTAATTCTTTTAGCACTTTAAAAATGTTTTGTCACTTTCTTCTGATCTCAGTGTGAAGAGAAATCCACAGTAATTCAAATCATTGTTCCCCTCTAAGTAATGCATCATTTTTTTCCCCTGCATGCTTTCAACATTCCTTGGCTTCAAGTTTGATTATGAACTGCTTGGGTGTGGATTCGTTGGATATCTTGTTGGACATTTTCTCAGCTCCTTGAATCTATAGGTTCATGTCTTTCATCACACTTGGACCAGTGTTAGCTATGATTTCCTCCAATACCTTTTCATCCATTTATGCGGTTCTCTCATTCTAGGGCTCCAGTGACACAAACCTTTTGTTATTGTCCTACAGGTCCCTGAGGCTCTGTCCTTTGTGTTTTTTTTTTCTTTTTTCTTTTTAAATTGCTTAAAGTATTACAAAGGGTATTACATATGTGTCCTTTTTTTCCCCCCTGCCCTTGACAATCCCCTGGCCTCCCCTACCCCCCTGTCCTTTGCGTTTTCAACATTTTTTCCTCTGTTGCTCAGATTGGATCGTTTCTATTGATCTGTCTTCAAGTTCGCTGCCTCTTTCCATTCTGCTGATGAGTCTATTCAGTGTGGCTTTTTATTTATTTTTTGTTAATATATATTTTTTGGTTCTCTTTTATATTTTCTAATTTTTATAGTCTATTTTATTTTAATACTTTATTCTGTTTTCATACTGTTCTATGCCATTTTAATATTTGTTTCAAGAGTGTTATAGTCTATTTTAATATTTATTTCAAGTGTTATTGTTTTAGCATTTTTATAATGCTTTAAAGTCTTTGTCAGATACTTCCAACATCTGTGTCATTTTCTTACGTATTGTCTTGTCTCATGTGAGTTGAGACTTCTGTGGTTGTTTGGATGCCCACCTTTTGGATTTTATCCTGTTTTAAATATTACTTTATAAGGCACTGTGTTGTGTTGAAACCCTACAGAGAATATTGATACTTTTATTTTAGTAAGCAGTTCTGTTGGTTAGGTTCAGGCTGCAGCTTGGAATTATAAGTTCAATATCAGATTCAAAGCACTTGCAGTGCTGTTGGGATCTCTCTTGTGTGTCCTCCAAGGGTCAGGCTGGGGTCTGGGCAGAGGTTTGTTAGCTCAATTCTGAGTTTTGGGTGTGCTGTTTGGACCAGTTCCACGCAAGCACAAGTTAAGGGTGAGGCTAGGAACTCATAATTAAGTTAATGGGATTGCTTTCTCGAGCTCTTCCCGGTTCCCTGGGTCTCCCATTCTCTGTCTGGCCATACACCGCTGACTTCCACAATTGTGGTATCTGGGCCAAGCAGTGGGAGGACAGAGAAGAGAGTTTTGGCTGCCGCTGTTGCCGCCCCCACCGTCGTTATTGCCACCAGAGAGCTGAGGAGAAGGAAGGAAAATACCCGAGTTTCATCTCTTCTCTCTGAGCTTTGGGGTTTCCTCTCCCTTCCCCAGCCTGGCTTCTCCGGAGCTCTCTCCTCGCCCACAGTGCTCACTCCGGGGGTTGGATTGGTTGAGTCCTGCTGGCCTTCCCGGAAGGAGAGAAGGGGATCCAGTGTCCTTCCCCGCCTGCCTGTCGCTGTTTGCTTCTCACTGTTCTCCAGTAGCTGAGCTGCGTACTCTGTCCAGGTTTCATAGCTGCATTCGGAGGGAGAGCAGGGGAGCATGTCTTTTCTCCCTCAGCCAGAACTGGAGTCTCTGATATTGTTTACAATTTTTATTTTCTAATTAACTCGTCTTTATGTGCAGGACAACAGTTGGTGTTGTTCATAAGAGTCCCATTAAGTGGCCAGATCACATAATTTTTCATTAATTCTTTTGGCTTTGTTGATGCCTACATTTATGTCCATTTCACATGATGCTATTTTGGTCCCTTCCTTTGATTGCATGATTCTCACTATATTTTCCATTTGCACCTTCTGACTAGCCTTGCGAGTAAATGCGGTCTTACTGTTTCTTTGGAACCTGTTGGGTGATTGTTTGGGAGCACACAGTCCCATGGGAGGGCTGGGCAGGGCAGTGGGTGTGGATGCAGCTCAGCGGACCTGCATGAGGCACATTTTGGGGAACCTCACCGAAGGGCCCGGCCGCCAGTGTAAGCCTGTGCTCACCTCAGGCAGAGCTGAACCACAGCAGGCATTCCCAAACGGCAGCCTCTGGAGCTCACCCAGTCGGGTGTGATTTCAGGGCATTTACATGCAGCTCTTTGAAGATGCAGGTCTTTGCAGCAAGCACACCCATCCCATACAGCTGAGCTGGCAGTGGGTGAGGCACACGTGGGGAGTGGGGTGGCGCAGGTGCAGAGTCCACCTGCAAGTTTAATGACCCCCGTGACTTTCCTGTCCCTGTGGCTAAGAAATTTCAGCCTCTTCTTAGAACTGGGCGACAGCAGTCCAGCCTGGGCTGCCACGGTCAAGGGGAAAGGACACTTGAGCAGGGGGTCACCTGAGGCCAGCCTGGGGCCAGTCTCCAAGGGGACGATAGGCTCCGGCTCCCTAGGTCCTGCCGTGGTGACCCCTGCGTCTCCCTGAGCCCCGGTGACCTCACCTGTAAAACACACCGCCGCTCACCGTGCAAGGCGAGGCCGTGGGAAAGAGGAGACGGCAGAGCCTTCCGAAAGTCCGGTGCCACCTGAGGCAGCCCACCGTGACCGGGCACATCCCCCGCCCGTGACTCCCCAAGGGCCACCACCGTCTGCCTCTGTCCCCATGGTCAGCAGCGTCCTGTGGGTGGGGCTGAGGCTTGCTCCCCAAGGCCACAGGTAGCCCGACACTCAGGGTGCCCACCCACTGGGCTGAGTCGGGGCTGGGCCCACCGACCACTGTCTTCTCCCGCCTTTGCAGGTCACCTCCAACGAGAAGCACCTGGAGAGCCTGAAGGGTGCGGGCAGCCTCCTGTGGGCGCTGGAGCGGCTGGCCCCGGCTGGCGGGTGAGTCGGCCCAGGAAGGGCCCGAGCAATCTATTGGGCTCAGCAAACACTGACACACTCTTTTCTCTCCGCCTGTCCCCCCACTCCCTCTACACACCAGGGACCACCGTCTTCCACTCGGTCATTGCCACTGAGGTCCCTCCCAGCGGGGGAAGCATGGTCACTGTGTCTCTATCCCCTGGGGACCCCCCACTGTCCAAATGAGGGGTGTCAACAGGAAGAGGGATAAAAATCAGGATATCTTAGTGCCCCCAATATCACATCTATAGGGGATAGAGGTGAGGGGGGGAGTGGACTATGACTAGCTGGGAGGGGACAACAGGTGGGAGATGGGATGAACCCCATAAGGTGGTCGGTAACCAGCCTGTGTACACGCACCCCCATGCCAGCCCGGGCCACAGGCGACATTACCGCCACCTGGCAGAGGGACTGGAGGTCAGGGAAGGGCTGGGGTCAGAACCGACAGCTCAGCCTGCCCGGCAGCACCAGGCTGCCCCGCTTGGCCAGAAGGAAAACCTGGAACCTAGACAGCAGAGTATGTGACTCCCAGAATCGGAGTGTGAGGTTAGCCCTGCCTCCACTCCCCAGCTGTGCAGTGTCTAGAACTGAGGGGCAGACCAGGCAGCGCTGTCACCCTGGAGCGCCAGCCCCACCGTCATGCGGATGCTCAGTGGGGTGAGTGCTGCAGGGAGGGTTCATTCTGCAATGACACGCATCCCCTGCACCCCTGCACTTGAGAGGTGGTGGCAGCTGGTGGGGGTAGAGCTTATACTGTTTATGTGAATGTTAGTGCCAAGTGACAAGGGGAAACACAGGGATAAAGAGTTGTTCCCAGGCCTCCATGCTTCCCGCTGGCACTGTCTCACGGCTCACTGGTGTGGTGGCACCGAGCCTGGCAAGTGGTGGGGCTTGGGAGGTCTGAGGAGTGGTCAGTGAATGCAGTGACCCCTCCTCCCTCAGGCCACATCCCCGTGCTGAGGGAGGTAGCCAGAGGTGTGGGGGCCACAGTCCTGAGCCCCCGCTGCTGTCCGTCCCCACCCTGGGCAGAAGGCCGCCCCTCGAAGGCCTTCACTGCACATTTCCTGGTAGCTGTCAGCACCACAGGGTTCTGTGAAGTCTGTTTTCGGTGCTTTGGGATGGTATTAATTTGAAGAAATACATGTGATTGCCGAGGCGAGTCTGTGGTGGAGGCAGGGCTCCCTCCCTCCTTTTTATACTTAATCCTGGTTGGGTGGGGGAGGGGGGCACCACCTCCTGGGCTACCCGCCTCACCATGGCAGCCCTGGTGTGAGGTGCAGACAAGGACTCGGGCTGCGCACACAGTCACCCCCAGGGACCCCAGCCTTAAGCAAACAGTTTGGTGGCCAGCTCCTGAGAGCCCTTCCCCCAGCTGCCTGTGGGACTCTCCTAGCAGGCCCTCAGTCTGCCTTCAGGTCCAGGCCAGTGTGGCCGCAGGATGCACCTAAATCTGGACCAAATGTCAAGTGAGGCTCAGGGCTCCGTGGGCCTCCCCCGCCCCCGCCCCCAGCACTCCAGGCAGGTGGGAGGTTGGGCTTTGCTCCGATGGCTGAAGAAAGGCTTTTCTCATGGTGACCAAGGAGGGAATGGCAGTGCTCTTGGTTCTGATTGGCTCTGCCACAGGTTGACGTGCCCTTTGCCAGTCACTGAGCCGGGGCGGCTCAGTGGGCAGGGCAGACCCTCTGGACCTTGGCTGTGCAGCCCCGTCTCCTGCCCTGTCCCCCGGGGGCCCACCTTCTATGCAGCCCCCACCTGATTATTTGACAACAGCTCTATTTCTGTGTAGTGGGAGGTGCCACGAGCTAATTGCATACTTCAAGGTGAACATTGCTATGTGTCACTCTTTCTTTGCTAACAGTTGTTAGTGCACAGGCTTAAATGTGTCTCAATTTGCTCTGTTAACAAAATCTCCATGTTAAGCTCTTAATTGCACATCCACACCTATGGGAATAAGACACCCAAGACTCATGGCTGATGGGCCAGCCAGTGGCAACATGGAGCAGGAGAGTCAGCCTTTGGGCGGGTCTGGGATCTTCGGTCTTTGGTACAAGTCAGCTGGAGGCAGGCGCTGGGCAGGCGCCCCCCCCGCCGCGGGACCCTGTGGGACCCGGGCCAGGCTGAGCAGGGTCTGGCTGCTGTCTGACTTGCCTGACAGCTCAGCATCAGTGCACCTGGCCCAGGGCGTTCAGATGCTGAGAGCTGGTGGGCCAGGAGCTCAGGCCTCAATTAGGGGTGCTGGTGGGGCCAGTTCTGAGCCCCACTGGGGGTGCGGCTGACGGGTTTGCACCTCAGCCTGGGAACACGGTTTCTGCGCCTCTAGATACTGTGGAGGGCCGCCCTAGAAGCAGCTGGTGCATTGGACACCAGCCCCTTTGAACGAGTCGGCTCTTCAGCCTTTGTTCTCCTCACAGTTCGTCTGCCGACAGTGCGGTGGCCTCCTTGGCCCTGGAAATCCTCCAAACGGTTGGACACTAGGCGAGAAGGCACCGAACACAGGCCCAACCTCGGCTGCACAGGCAAGGCCAGCCCCCGACACGCTCGGCACCCCAGCCGTCCCCGCGCCCAATAAAGCCAGCTGACGCCCGAGCCTGCGGCTGCGGTGCTCTCCCTCACTGTGGGCCCTGGAAACGGCCTTCGAATAGAGCCTCGTCCTGGGGGCACCCGGGAAGCCAGGTTTGCCCCTGGGCTCAGAACGTTCTTTCCTGTGTGGCGCGGGCCAGCCCGCCTGCGGAGACTGAAGGCAGCGCCCAGCCAGCCTTGGGAAGGGTTAGCCTGTCTCCCCCCACTCTGACCTGCCTGGCTGTCCTTCCTCTCGGGGACACACTGAGTCCCAGAAGCCCCTGCAGGCACAGGCAGTTAGGAGTTTGCCTGCAGAAATGCCAGCGCTCCAGGAACGCTGGCTTCCGGGAAGGTCTGCCCATCAGGGTGGGTGGATGGCATCCAAGTAGAATTGTCCCCCCAGCTTCTACCAGTTACTCCCAAATCCTTGAACCTCTTCAGCCTCTTCCTATGTTCCCTCACACACATGCCAAGAACCTCCTGGGAGCGTCGTGCCCATGAAAACATTTGGTGGACAGTGCAGAGGTGTTGGGCCGAGGCATCTGGCCTGGAAGGTGGGATGGGTCCTGGACAGCTCAGACCAGGTGAGCAAGTGGATGCATCCCCTGGTCTCTGGGGCCTGTGTCTGATCTGCAAAAGGAAAGGGCTAGACCAGGCCAACAGCTGCTACCCTTCTCCCAGCTGTGGGACTGCACTGCTCAGAGAGGATGCGCCCCAAATAAACACTGCCCCTGCCTAGGTGGGGCTGTCCCCTGCAGAGCGGGTGGGGCAGGCAGAGGTCGTAGGCCCACTGTGCCACAGTGATCGGGTAGTTTGCCAAGTTCATTGGGCTTTATAAAGAAAGCAGCTTGTGCCAGCTCTCAAAGGCATGTCCGTCAGCTAGTCCCCACCACAACCTGCGAAGCAAGCCTTCTCTGCTTCCTTTCAGGCCATCTACTTGCTTGGCTGACCTCAGGACTGACTCCATAGCCCTGTGTCCCCTGTGGGTGTCCAGAGCTTGGCTGTAACCAGTTGGGGTGTAAGAGGCTGTGTCGTGTCGTCCCCCCCCCCCCCCCCCAGCAGCAGGCAGTTTGGTTTGATGGCTCATAGCCCACTTACTGCCCATGGTGAGGAGGCTGCATCCCCAGGGGTCTGGCCTGGCTGGAATGGCCTGTGCTCCTGGGTGGGGTGGGGTGGGGAGTTAACACAGGGAGCAGCCAGAGGCCTGGCCTTTGGCTCCAGCTGCTTTGCCTCCGAGGCCCAGGGAGCAGGCACAAATCTGTTTTCCCAGACAACCTGTTCTCCCTGGGGAACCACTTGAGTTCTGGGTCTAGAGTCCTCAGAGAAGGCATTTCAGAGAATGGAAAAGCGACTTCCCCCTTTCCATCAAGCAGGGAGGAGTTTTTGCTGTTTAAACTAGGTAGGATTTAACGTTCCCAAACCTTGTTGAGTTGACCATGCCTGGCCGAGCCCACAGCACGGCGTGTTTGAGAAAAGGGCATCTCAGTCGGCAGGAGGACGAGCTGACGGTCCCAGCAGGGCTACTGCCCTCCAAGGTGCCCAGCCCAGGGTGCCGGGCACTGAAGCTGGCCCATGCCAAGCCTTGTACCCTGTGTGAGGCTCTGTCCTTCTGACCTAGGGGATCCCTTTTGTCCTTCTCACAAAGTGTCAAACGAGAAGCAGCAGCCACAGTATAATGAAATCGAGGTAGGGCGAGAGCAGGCTGGCTGGGCGGCGGCAGAGACCCTTCCCTGCCTTCTCCAGGCGAGAGGCCCATGCCCTCGTCTTGGCTTCCCAGGATGGCTGCAGTGCTGAGAAAGGAGCTGGCCCCAGCCCGATTGGAGCTCACAGGACTCTGACAGTGGTAAGGGGTCCAGACCCAGGTACCTGCTGGCTTCCCCTTCCCACCACCTCCAAGCCTCAGCTATTTGCTCGTCAACTGACACACCACTGGGACGACCGGTGTCACTGAAGTCGGCAGCCGAGAGCACTCGGGCGGGGAGTGGCTGACAGGACCTCCGCCTTCCCCTCGACTTACACCCTAACGCGCGAGACCTTGCCTAACTCCTGCCCGAGAGGAATGTCCGAGGACGGTGCCTGTGAAGAACCGTTGGGTGACTGGTTCCAGGTGGTCAGAGAGGAAGCGAGTCATGGGGGCAGCTGAGGTGGGTCTGCTGGGTGCAGCGACAGAATTGACTGCCTGGTGGTTCTTTGGACGCGTCCAGCTCCTGGCATTCCTTATTACATGAGGTTTTCTGTTACCTGACGAGGTTCCAGGTCAGCTCTGTGACTGTAGTGTAGCTCAGGCTCTTGTCCGAGGTGAGGAGAGGAGAGGTCTCCTTGCCTCCACTTGAAGCAAGACGCCCGTCTCCCTCCCTCCCCTGGCCACACACACAGGACGCAGAAATAAATCTCTGCACTCGGATCTCTGCAGCGACTGAGGTAGGAGCCTTGGGAAGGAGGGTGGGGGAGGAGCTACCAACGCCCAAAGAAAGGGGCTTGGCCATGGAGGGCTGTCTGGAGTGGGATGGAAACAGACTGGACAAAGGTTAGGAGGCCCCATTAGGCTCCAGCTTTGGTGGAGCTGAGGAGCAAAGTGTGGGAACAAAAGCAAGAAGCCTCGGCCTAGAACAAGGGAGTGGAGTGCTGAGGGGCCTGGAGGGAGACTGGCTTACAGCCCACTGCTGCCTCTTGGAGGCGTCAGGGAGGCCCGTCACCCTCTCTCACCTGCTGAGTGGGCACACAGGAGCGAGGAGAAAAGGAGACGCAACCTTTTCTGCCCTGCCCCACCCTCACCCCTCCATTCTGTAACTGCCTTGGGGGGCTGATCCACTCAAGGAAAGCAGTGCGATTCTCACCTGCTGGAACAAAACCACCACAGCCATCTACTCAGCTTTGCTAATTAAACCAAACAACACAAGTCAGATCTTGTTTTTATTACAGTAACCAAAACAAGAATTAAAAAGCTTATTCACCTCAAGATCTCTCACTGTCAGTGATTCAAATAACCAGATCAAGGTCTCGTGTCTGAAGCATCGACTCCAACATGAAGCGTCACTCTTCCGCTCAGTGCAGTGGGATCCAATGTCCTGTGACCTCCATCCCCAGGTAACCACTAGCCTGATTTGTGTAAGAACCTAAGAACTCCTTGCTTTTCAGTTTTCCCATCCATGGATGAGTTCCTTAAAATAGACTGCCCTTTTTTGGATCAGTGTAGCCCTTCAGTATGCATTTATGACTTTCTTTTGTTTAATATTATGAGATATAGTCAAAACTATTGTGTAAAGGTATCGTTTTTAACTGCAGGATGGCCACTCTCATGTATGAAGGAAGCGATTATTGGGCACGTGATCACACAGTGCCCTACCAGTCATATTGGAGCTTGAGGCAAAAGAAAAATACCGATATTGTTTTTATTTAAAATTGATAGTTTGTTGGTCGTGGTTTTTCTGCATTAACTTCAATTTTATCCAAACGGCCACCCACAGAAAATCAGAAACAGCCCTCCCTAAGCACAAACCACTCTTTTTAAAAGACCAAATCACAAGTCTTAACAGGTCTACTGACTCTGCCCTAAGGGAGGAAAGCTGGGAGACCTACCGCCAGGATGACGGGCTCACCTGGCAGGTAGCTGGAAAGGCCCATTCTGGGTCTATGTTCAGATAAACATCTACACTTCAACCAACTTAATTATCAGTTCAAAGTGGAGTTGAAGGAATTCCCCTCTCCACATGAGTCACACTTATGTGAAGGTGCTTGGGGTCTAAAGCCCAGGTAGTTAATTTTTCATTCTTAAGACAGTAACTGTGGGGTGGGGAATTCCTATTGGCTTCAGTTTTGCTCTATGTAGCCCAAAGATTACACAGAAGCCAGGTGAAGTCTTGGCCACAGGGTCTAAGCCCAGAGTCCTTCTTGGCCACAGGGTCTAAGCCCAGAGTCCTTCAGTTGGAGAAGGTGGAATCTCGCCTCTCACACTGGGTCAGAACCACTGCTGGAGAAACTTGGCCAACATTCCCATCTAAGGTAAAGGCTCTACCTTTGACCACTGAGTTCACTATGTACGCGAATATGACCACTGAGTTCACTATGTACGCGAATATACTTGTTACCCTCACAACACCAGTTGCTAACAAGGAAAAAAGGTGACACAATCGAATGAATTAAAAGTTTAATTCTGAACCATTTTTATAACTGCATTTTCTCTTGAAGCATTGAATCACAGCAGGTTACAACAACTTTGGGATAAAAGGCAACTGGTAAACTGTCCAAAACAAGGTTCCAAATAACACCTCTTACTGATTTACCCTACCCATACATATCCCAAATAAAGTTTTCGATCAAAAACATGAAATAGATCCACCTGCTTATTTTAAGCATATTAAAAAGGAAACTAATTGGACCATTTCTATTTGTCTATTTTATACAAAAAGGCTACACAATGTTACACTTTATTCAGATTACAATTAGAGTGATTATGAATTAGTGTTCTACACCATTACTCAATTCTTAAAAATTAGAAATTGCTGTAGCAGTATTCACTATAACTTAAGACTACAAGACTTAAAAAACTAACAGTTACTGCAAAAAAAATTAAAGAGCTACTTCAAAGCAAGCAAAGTCAGTACCATTACAGATATTAAAAAAAATTTTAACAAGCAAGGCTAGAGTTTGATAAATTCCATCCTGTGATCCATTCTTGTGCATTCTTCACTTCTTGAGTCACTCCCAAAATCCATTTGTATTGTTACTCCTCGACCAAAAAGGACCAGAACAAAAAGTTTACTTCAATTGTTCCCATAGGAAACTCAGCTTGGTTAGTGTGTCAGGCACTTTCTGAGATACCAGCCCACCCCTCGAGCCCTCTCAGCAACTCTACAGGCCAATCACAATGCAAGTTCAGACAATACCGCTGTATAAAGAGAGAAAGGCTGCTATTAATGTTTAAAACAGCAAATGTTACTCGTTTGAGTATTAAGTTGCAAAAGCTGTGGCAAAAAACATTAAAGTTAATGACTTCCACACATGACCACGTAACAACCAGAAATC